CCGGGGGTTGGGGCAGGGGATAGGGCGCCGCGGCAGCTTGGTGTACTCTGTTTTTATTAGGGGGTTGGGGTTGGGTTTACGGTGGTGGTGGCTGGTGGTAACGTTGGTGTGGTGGTGGTTGCAGATCACGGGCTCGATGAGGCAGAGGGCGCGGCTTACCACCACCACCACAGCCATCACCAGCAACATCATCGGCATCGTCATCATCATCCACCATCCGTCCCTCCTCCTCACCATCACCATCATCAGGCGCTAAAGAAAGAGGAACAAGACCAGTCGAGCACAGGAAGCAGCGGCGGGAACGCGGCAGCCGGCAGCAACGCCGGGACCAGCAAGTACCAGAGGAGCCCCGCGGATTTCCGGCAGCAGAAGATGATGCGCGACCACCATCAGCAGCACGGTTACAGGTGTCCGCTCTGTTGTAGGACCCTGCAGGACATCAGCACGATGAGGGCCCACCTCGAGCACCACTATCCACGCGACTCGCCCACCTGTCCCGTCGCATCCTGCGCGAAAACCTTCTCCCATCCGAACAGCGTGCGCAACCACATGCGTCTGAAGCATCCCGTGCAGTGGGACCAGATCAAGACCCTCAGGTGGACCTACGTCTGATAATCAGGCGGCGAGGACACCGACGATATTACTTCACCTTCTTCTCTTGCTCCTGAACATCTGTCCTCTCGATCCTCTTCTATCGATTCTTCTCCGAAATCTTCCACCCCCTTCCCCCCTTCCATCCTTCTGGACGGTGTGTATCGATTGCACGTGACTCGATATCGTTTCTTGGACATGGTGGAGGGTGCGTTTCGTATTCCACGGAAAGGTCTCGCGTGCCAGAGCCTATAAAACCGTTTCGAAAGGTCGCGCGACGAGGTTGTAAGTATGCAGAGAAGGGTACGGGAACGACTTTCATGGGGTCTCNAGAGAGAGAGAGAGAGAGAGAGAGAGAGAGAGAGAGAGACGTCTGCGCGAGAGCGAGAGGGAATGAGAGATAGAGCAATTAGCGATCCGCCAGATACCAGCAACCAGCAACCATTTGCGGGATGTAACCCCCTAGAATATTCCGCATGAGACCCGGGGGTTGGGGCAGGGGATAGGGCGCCGCGGCAGCTTGGTGTACTCTGTTTTTATTAGGGGGTTGGGGTTGGGTTTACGGTGGTGGTGGCTGGTGGTAACGTTGGTGTGGTGGTGGTTGCAGATCACGGGCTCGATGAGGCAGAGGGCGCGGCTTACCACCACCACCACAGCCATCACCAGCAACATCATCGGCATCGTCATCATCATCCACCATCCGTCCCTCCTCCTCACCATCACCATCATCAGGCGCTAAAGAAAGAGGAACAAGACCAGTCGAGCACAGGAAGCAGCGGCGGGAACGCGGCAGCCGGCAGCAACGCCGGGACCAGCAAGTACCAGAGGAGCCCCGCGGATTTCCGGCAGCAGAAGATGATGCGCGACCACCATCAGCAGCACGGTTACAGGTGTCCGCTCTGTTGTAGGACCCTGCAGGACATCAGCACGATGAGGGCCCACCTCGAGCACCACTATCCACGCGACTCGCCCACCTGTCCCGTCGCATCCTGCGCGAAAACCTTCTCCCATCCGAACAGCGTGCGCAACCACATGCGTCTGAAGCATCCCGTGCAGTGGGACCAGATCAAGACCCTCAGGTGGACCTACGTCTGATAATCAGGCGGCGAGGACACCGACGATATTACTTCACCTTCTTCTCTTGCTCCTGAACATCTGTCCTCTCGATCCTCTTCTATCGATTCTTCTCCGAAATCTTCCACCCCCTTCCCCCCTTCCATCCTTCTGGACGGTGTGTATCGATTGCACGTGACTCGATATCGTTTCTTGGACATGGTGGAGGGTGCGTTTCGTATTCCACGGAAAGGTCTCGCGTGCCAGAGCCTATAAAACCGTTTCGAAAGGTCGCGCGACGAGGTTGTAAGTATGCAGAGAAGGGTACGGGAACGACTTTCATGGGGTCTCTCGACGGTCGAGAGAGACCGTACGCGGTCCCCTGTGGACGCTTTCCACCCGCACAAAAGCACACCACGCCCCCTTGTTCCTTCTTCTTACGCCACCCACCCGCCACCCCCTTAATCTATCCCACTGAGAAGCGCACACTTTGTAAATATTTCGGAAGATTATATTGATGAACAGAAAAGAAGGAATATATTATATAAATAAAATATAAATATTATAGAGAGAGTATATATATATTACGAAGAGATAATCTATATATATATTATTATATATAGTGAGAGAAAGAAGAGAGTTGATTTTGTATAAAAGAAAAAAGCGAAAATGATAAAACGTACGAAGCAGTATTTCCAGTAGAGCCTGAAACGAGAAAATGAAAATACGAGAAAGAGAGAATAACCGCGTAGTCACACCATAGAGATCGTGTAATAAGAGTAACGTCGACTGTAAGACTACGAGCGCGTCGGCGACGACGCGAACGGTTAGGTTATACGTATCTTACAAGAGAAAACAATGTTCCTCTAAAGCTGAGTAAGCCAGCCTTACGTTAAAGATCGTAGTATTAAGGCCGTAGATGGGAGTCGAGAGAATATAAATTATGTACGAGCGGGACGAGTAGTCGAATATTCGCGGCGGCACGAGGTGTTGCAGACGCAACCACGGCGCGCAGATGCTGCAACGCTGTGTCGAATGAATGGTCGCACCGCGTACGTGCAACGCGCGGCCTGCCGAACAGCAACTTCGCGATGCTTCCGTAATTGTTAATCGAGGAAACGCAATATTATACGTATATTTACACACATACAGTTATACAACACGCGTAGAGAAACGCATTAGGAGACGCGCGGCTGCGCTTCGAGAATCGACGGTCACGGTAGCTTTCGATTGTCTCCCGTCGATTTGGCATTTTTCTTTTTTTCTTTCTTTCTTTTTGGCAAATTTCTTACATATCGTCGAAGACTGTATCACTTAAACGCGATCGGTAAAGTTTGCTATTAAAGGGTTTCGTGCTTTCTTGATAAAAAGTTACCAAAGATAACTGTGGCTAATTGCTGATTTAATTTTACTTTTTTTTTGTAAACAAAATTTTTCATTTTGTTGAAAGATATCTGTGAATTTAAAAATTAAAAGCTTTTTACTTTCGTTTTAACGATCCCCGAGATTGTAATGGCTAATTGTGAAAACGAAGACTGACTGCTATGCAAGGGTTGATCGCCGATAGCAGACTCAATTTTTCTTTTTTCTTTACCGAATCGATCGCATCTATTGTCGAAACCGGAATAAAAACGATAACTAAAGCCATTTTAGTCGAAGCCATTTTTACTCTGAATTCAGAATAGTTTTTCTAACTTACAGTTGTATGACTTAAGTGCATTATATATATGTAATAATATATATAATTTTTTATATATATAATTATATATAACACATAATTAATTAATAATATAGAATATATATCATTATATATATTGTTACAATTACAATTTTAACAATTTGTAAAATACAAACAAGTTTGATAACGTCAAAATTATTTTGATGAGTTGGATTCACATCCAGTCGAGTGCAAACAGTAATATCAATTATTACTATCAATGAACAGTAGTTATCAATGAAGATAGGTTGAGTATACATTTTGAGATATGACATCGACAGAACCAATTGACATGGAGATTTTCAATAATAAAAAATAAAATTAATAAAGACGTTCCAGGTTTGAATAGAATCGATCGCTAAAAGAGGTTGCCAGAGCTGTCAGTATTACGGTATTTAATTTTGATTAAAATCAAACGAAGAATGGAAGAAATTTTATGTTACTATTTCACAAAAGATCATTTGATTCTGTATAATTTTTCAAAGAAGGAACGTTTCGGGTGCGAAAATGATTTTCGAAGCGCAGTTGCGATCGCGCGAGCGAGTGTGGATCGATCGGTCGACCCGAACAACGCCTAGCCTTATTTTTCTACAGTCTTGTGTTTCGTCAGTATTCCCTAGGTGAAGAATTCCCCCAGGCAGGTTAAGTTTTCGACACACGTGTACGATAGTTACTAGAGATACGCTGCGAATGAATACGAAAAATCTACATATATATGTATATGTATATATATATATATATATATATATATATATATATATATATATATATATATATATATATATTGCGTGGGCGAGTTGTTGTTCGCGCGAGTGATTAATTAAAAGAAAAGGAAAAGAACGCTAGTCCCCACGAAAATTCCGATTTCTAGAACGAAGCGAATATTTCAAACGACTGTCTCCTATTTTCTTCGAGCTAGTTTCACTGATTAAACCGCGAGATCGCCTTCGCGATCGACAGCTCGTCCCACGGACAATGTATAGAGCATCATACGCACTATTTTAGCAGACACTAGCGTTACGTAAGACTATACATACGACACACGAAATAAAGTATATACTATTTAAGTAATGCTTTGTACAATAAAAGGTATTCAGAGAACCTCGTGTTGCTCGTCTGTTCGTTCCATGGATTCACTTATGATTTTCTCTAGCCCGCCCTTTAATTAATCACCCAACGATTTATTTCGCTCGAGCGCCTTCCATTTCCAGCGACGATTGCATCCGCGACGTTGTCCCAAAATAGATACACCGTTCCCCGACCGAATCTACGTTATCCACGATTATAAATTAATTAGAACCGCGTACGCTTCGATAGCCATTATCAGTTCTTTAACTTGCCCTTTCTCGGAGAAGCCCTCGAGTTCCAAGTTCAAATTTCACGGACAGGCTGCTGATTTCTAACTCCAAATTTCACAGGGACGGTCTTGAGTTGTAACCACGAGCGTCCACGCAGAGAGACGATCCTGAAGTTCTAGCTTGAAGTATATCGCAGAGCGATGTTACGGCGCAGGGTTCCCCAAGAGAAAAACAGATTCCCTTAAACCGGCCTCCGCATTTTAATTTGACCGTCCGCCAAATCTTTCAGAAAGTACCGGATCAGCTCTCTCATCATTTCCTTTGTTTATCTTCTTTTGCAGTCGCCCGGCGCGGTTTGGACATGACGCGGGTCCGCGCGACCGATCCCCGGCCCTGCCCGAAGTGCGGGAAGATCTATCGATCGGCGCACACGTTGCGCACCCATCTGGAGGACAAGCACACGGTCTGTCCGGGCTACCGGTGCGTATTGTGCGGCACGGTGGCGAAGTCGCGGAACTCGTTGCATTCGCACATGTCGCGGCAGCACCGCGGCATCAGCACCAAGGACCTGCCGGTGCTGCCGATGCCGAGCCCGTTCGACCCCGAGCTGGCATCTCGTTTGCTGGCCAAGGCGGGTGTCAAGGTGAGTCCAGCGGAGCTGAGAGCCCGAGCGAGCCCCACTGGACCTCGAAGAGGAGACATGAGGCTGGAGATCCCCCGCGGAGGCGCGCCATCGGAAGCAGGCAGCAGCATCTGCGGCGGCGACGACCCCGAGGATCTGACGCTGCCCCTGAGCCTGAGGTACGGCTCCCCGACCCCGAACAACAACACTGTGATCACCAAAGTCAGCGGTAACAATAGCAGCAGCAGCACCAAGAACTCCACGGCGACCGCGATAGCGGCCAAGTCGATGGACACCATGATCGGCAGCCGAGAGCCGAACACGGCGCCGCTGCATCCACCTGGACACCTTCATCCGAGCCATCACAACACCAGCGCGACGGGATCCGCGATCCTGGACACCTACCTGCAGTTTATCGCCGAGAACTCTGGCCTGGCGACGATGGGGCTCAGTCCGGAGCAAGCCGCGGCCGTGGCGGCTGCTCACGCCGCCAAGATGGCGCACATGAGCGCAATGGACAAGCTGGGCGGTCGCGGGATCGAGGACTATCCTATGATAGGCAGAGACGAGGGCAGAGGACTCGGCATCGTGCACGAGGATCGGCACGACGTCCTGCAGGATAGGCATGGCGTTCTTCTGGACGAGGGAGACTCGTCCGGCGGCGAAGAGGACGACTTCAGCGAGAACGAAGAGCCGGAAATCGTGAAGGCTGAATAGGTTGACCTGGTTGCTAACCCGATGGCTAGGAGGCACCTGGCCGGATCTCTTGGGCCTGGCCCAGGGCCTCGTTCACAGCTTAAGTGAATCACGTCAAGTAACAAAGTCATCGACTACCTCAGTAGAGACATACATCTGTTTTCTTTTGTTGCGAGAGAAATACAGTTTTCCAAAGAAGAAGGAAGAGGACGACGACCACGACCATGGAGCTACGGGATAGATTGCACTCGGCGGCTTCGTCGGCCACGTCGGATCGCGTTTACACACTTTTTAACCCTGTTTTAATAAATTCCATCTGTCTACCTCAGTGAACACGATAAACGATAAGTGATAGGACAGACCAAGACGAATCTCATTGACGAAGAATAAGAAGAAGAAGAAGAAGAAGAATAAGCAGAAAAAGAACAAGATGAAGAAGAACAAGAAGAAGAAGATGAAGACGACGGTGACGACAGAGCGTTTGCGCATCGGCTGGACTCACCGGTTCCCATGGTTCTTCGCGACGGTGTTCCCCCGTGTCTTGGGAAACACCATATGAACCGGGAAGTCAGGTGACGACCAGGGCAACTGTTTGATTCTTTTTATTTTCTAAAGGTTTAAATGAGCGGTGCCCGTCGCGGACTCGCGACGAACCCGAGAAGATATTATTATTATATTATATTATATTATTATTATTATTATTATATATGAATGTTGAGGAAGAAAATATATTGTCTAGATTTATAGCGAACAGTTAGTGTACCACGGGGCGTGTACGTGAAACACGCACGTGAAACGGGAGTCGCGTACGCCCGCATTAACGAGTAGAGAGGATACGTGTAGCGTTTAGGGTAGCGTGCCCCTTCGTGTTTTCTTTATTTCGTCGAGAAGTCGCGTGCATTTCATGCTACACTATGATTATTATATACACCATTACATTCTCGAGGGACACACGGACACACAGACACGTTTTTGAGGAAGGTTCGAGGTTTGTCTCGCGACACGCGTAGAGGCGCGTGCGCGATCAGACGGTCTCGACTATTAGGGGTTGCTGTAGGCACGTGATTAGTAATCGCCCCTCATTACGATTGTTAATTGTCTCGTTTTAGCGTAGGGATAGAGAGAAGATGTAGTCCGAACGGATGGAATAGCGTTCGGCAACCGGCAAGACGGTCTTCGAGAAATTCGTGAATTCGGATGGAAATTTATTATTTTTATGACAATGACATGATAATGATGGTTAAATGCGTCCATCAGCGAGCCAAGTATCCACGTGTGCGGTTGGAATATCGATTATTCTCGATAGAAGCAGCGAGAGACTGAAATCTATCGCGACGCCCGAAAGAGCTCGCTTATGCAGGCGTTGAAGTCTCCGAGTCTCCGACTCTTTAGTCTCGTTTCTTTATCTTGTTTCTCGGTTAGAAATTTGTTTTTCTTGGAAAAAATTACCGGGATAATTAGCTTATTGTTTGTAGATATTGCTACGAAAAATATATTTTTCATAACTATTATAGGTTTTATTGAAAATCATAGTTCAAACATCGGTACAACAGTATCCGTACTGCTTGGACCGGAGCAAATGTCTCTTACGTGATTGCTACCTTTCTCGAAGGTAATTACACGTTTTATACTCGTAGCAGAACCCTTTTGCAATAACCTTGCAATACCAAAACCACAAATATTTTAAAATTATGTTTAATTCATCCGTCGAATCTATTATATAACTTTATTAGTGTTACTTTCGTGAGAATGATTCGTGTCGTAATTTCTATTTTAATTAAAAAAACTAATTCGTCCAGATGCATTCGCGGATTGTTTAATATAATGTTAAGCGAATTTGTTGTCGACTATCGCCCACGTGGAGGAAAGACCGGAGACAATGACGGCGAATTTCTCGAAGCAGATCTTTAATTGTCGTATGAAACGGTGCTCGACCGGCCCAGAGATCGAACGAATCGGATCGCGATCGACTCCTGGAATGATCGTCGATCCCGAGCGACGGCTGACGATCCGAAGTCGTTCCTCTCGTCACCCCCCCCCCCCGGCCCCTTTCGTTCTTCGGCTCGAAGCTCTCGATTGATCGGGCTCGAACTGTCCCAGGGCTTGCCATGACGTCCTAGTACTTAAGTTTATCGGCCCTCGAGACACTCCGACCACGGAATTACACATTAGACGATTAGTTGCTCGTGTATTTTGACATTCGGACGACTTAAACAGGAGATACGAATTCGTTGAATCGATCATTCGAAGCGGATCTGTTCCGATCTCTTCGGAAATCATCGAATCGTAGGATCTCCGAATTATTTATGAATCTTATTCACTTCGCAGTTTCTTTCTCCATTCATCAAGTATAAAATCGAGAGCGGCGTCTCGCCTACGCGTTCTCGTTCGACGGTCGAGCTCGTAGAACCCGGCTCGATCCTCTCGATCCTAGCCCAATGGGTGTGTCTTCGAAACACGGTTCCTACTAATGATATATACACGAGCTACTTTGATTTCCATGGAATACCTTCGTAGCCTATACACGTATACAAATGAATATATATATATACATGAATATGTATATTATATGTATACATACACGTACGGAGAATACATATTATAAATTTATATTATATAGACGCGTTAGTTACGCCTAGCGACGAGGAAAGGAACAGGTTCTTAGCAATACCGTAGTGGCGCCACGCGGTTCATCGAAGGGACTCGTCCGTTTCGTTCTCTTTCCTTTCCTTTTCTTATTATTTTTTTTTCTTTTTTCGTCGGGAAATTTTCGTTTTTGCGTGCGTGAAGGGTGTGATGTGCGACAGCGAGCGAATGGTACGAGAAAAAGGGACTGTTGCGGTTGACGACTTAAAAAAAAAAAGCTACGAGTTTCAGGTTTTAGACTTACTGAAAGACCGCGGGTCTCTGCGCGATACCAAAATTCCTCGAAATCGGGCGAAAGGGATCCGATTGGATGGTGGTCCACGCTGGAATAAAAAAGAACTCGTTCGCGCGCCACAAAACGCGCACGGATCCGCGGTCTACTTATTATCTAGATAAGTAGGACACTTCACAATACTCGGAGTATACTAACACCCCCGTAACTAGACTGTAAGAGCATTTTATCGAATGAACAGAGTCTCGGCGACTTTGTCGAGCTCATATCGCGTGCACGCGACGAGATACGTCCAAAATAAAAAAAAAAAGCAAAATACAGAGAAAATCGTAGATCGCGAGACGGGAGGGATTAGATTAGAGTCCGAGAAATCAAAAATGGCCGAGCGTGGATCGCGCGGACGCGGGGGATCATTGGCGACGACGCGAGACAACTCACCCCTTACGCGGCGCTCCTTTCGGAGGACGATAACTTCTTCATTAGACGACGTTAGATTTTATTGGCAGTTCTTCACGAGACAATAAATAGCTGAGAAACCAGGCGGAGAAACCAATGTGTGCACATTGTCGGGAACCGGCGGGGGTGGGTTCCGGATTTTTTAAACTTTATATTGTACATATACGAAAGCCCCACTGTATACGATCGGAACACTTGTATACGAGACGCGCGGCGGGATCGTACGCGCGGCATTTTTAAACGCTTGGCGATCCAGGACGCGGCGGATCCACGGCTCGGGTATCGCGGGGATGATCGATCGAGACGCGAGTCCAGGTCTAATNCCCCCCCCCCCCGGCCCCTTTCGTTCTTCGGCTCGAAGCTCTCGATTGATCGGGCTCGAACTGTCCCAGGGCTTGCCATGACGTCCTAGTACTTAAGTTTATCGGCCCTCGAGACACTCCGACCACGGAATTACACATTAGACGATTAGTTGCTCGTGTATTTTGACATTCGGACGACTTAAACAGGAGATACGAATTCGTTGAATCGATCATTCGAAGCGGATCTGTTCCGATCTCTTCGGAAATCATCGAATCGTAGGATCTCCGAATTATTTATGAATCTTATTCACTTCGCAGTTTCTTTCTCCATTCATCAAGTATAAAATCGAGAGCGGCGTCTCGCCTACGCGTTCTCGTTCGACGGTCGAGCTCGTAGAACCCGGCTCGATCCTCTCGATCCTAGCCCAATGGGTGTGTCTTCGAAACACGGTTCCTACTAATGATATATACACGAGCTACTTTGATTTCCATGGAATACCTTCGTAGCCTATACACGTATACAAATGAATATATATATATACATGAATATGTATATTATATGTATACATACACGTACGGAGAATACATATTATAAATTTATATTATATAGACGCGTTAGTTACGCCTAGCGACGAGGAAAGGAACAGGTTCTTAGCAATACCGTAGTGGCGCCACGCGGTTCATCGAAGGGACTCGTCCGTTTCGTTCTCTTTCCTTTCCTTTTCTTATTATTTTTTTTTCTTTTTTCGTCGGGAAATTTTCGTTTTTGCGTGCGTGAAGGGTGTGATGTGCGACAGCGAGCGAATGGTACGAGAAAAAGGGACTGTTGCGGTTGACGACTTAAAAAAAAAAAGCTACGAGTTTCAGGTTTTAGACTTACTGAAAGACCGCGGGTCTCTGCGCGATACCAAAATTCCTCGAAATCGGGCGAAAGGGATCCGATTGGATGGTGGTCCACGCTGGAATAAAAAAGAACTCGTTCGCGCGCCACAAAACGCGCACGGATCCGCGGTCTACTTATTATCTAGATAAGTAGGACACTTCACAATACTCGGAGTATACTAACACCCCCGTAACTAGACTGTAAGAGCATTTTATCGAATGAACAGAGTCTCGGCGACTTTGTCGAGCTCATATCGCGTGCACGCGACGAGATACGTCCAAAATAAAAAAAAAAAGCAAAATACAGAGAAAATCGTAGATCGCGAGACGGGAGGGATTAGATTAGAGTCCGAGAAATCAAAAATGGCCGAGCGTGGATCGCGCGGACGCGGGGGATCATTGGCGACGACGCGAGACAACTCACCCCTTACGCGGCGCTCCTTTCGGAGGACGATAACTTCTTCATTAGACGACGTTAGATTTTATTGGCAGTTCTTCACGAGACAATAAATAGCTGAGAAACCAGGCGGAGAAACCAATGTGTGCACATTGTCGGGAACCGGCGGGGGTGGGTTCCGGATTTTTTAAACTTTATATTGTACATATACGAAAGCCCCACTGTATACGATCGGAACACTTGTATACGAGACGCGCGGCGGGATCGTACGCGCGGCATTTTTAAACGCTTGGCGATCCAGGACGCGGCGGATCCACGGCTCGGGTATCGCGGGGATGATCGATCGAGACGCGAGTCCAGGTCTAATCGGTACAAAGGAACCACTTCTTGCCTTGAAGCTCTCTATACGTTTATCAGGCGCGGTTACGTCCGGCAAACACTGAAGATCGGCACGTTCGTCACCGGTTTCACATTCGTTACGTCCTATCGATTACTTAATTACTGTTGAGAAGAAGTGCAGACTAAAGTACGCTTTTCAGAAGCGCAATAGAACCTCTTTCAATTTCGTTGATCGAGTAATTATCAAGGTACATTGCAAGGAAACATACCGCGTGTCACAATCTCGTGAAATTTAAGTTTGTCAAATATTTGTTCTGGAGAATATATGATTTAGGTATTTATCAGGGGGGAAAGAAATGAAAATAAAGAAGTAACGCTAGTAATACGATGAATTAGCGATCAGAATTTTAACCGAAAGTTGCTTCATTTCTACGATAAGTCGTGATCTTTGCAGATCGTTTTTGATCGATCTATTCACGCTTAAAGAAAACATTCGAAAACAGTAAATAGCTTAATCAACAGAGGTTCGGATAATCGAGGTAAGAAAAATATAGGAAAAAGGTATGAAAAATTCTCTGGACAGGATGCATAAAATACGCGACTCGCGTGAACTGAATTGGGAAATTGTAGGCAGGGTGGCGAACGTGTTAGGGTAATTCGGAGTGAACAAAATCATATACACAGAGTACAAATTGATCCCGCGGTGTTGTTTCGCCGAGGAGGAGAATCTGAAAAGGGAAATCGAAGAGGGAACCACAGGTACGCAGGAGGGAAGCTAGAGAAATATCGGAAATCGGAGAACACGGTTTTCCCCCAACGTGTCCGACCAGAAATCGAACCGTTTGTTCTTGTGCCATTGTCGTGTGTGACTGTTTAGTGCCGAGGTTTTCGTTCGGTTTTCTCTCGTTTCTTCGCTCGAATGGAAGGCAGAGTGCACAGGAACTGTCTGGCCCAGATTGAAAAGTCCCATGACGATCGTCAACGATCCAATTCAGCGGTCACGTTGACGAGCAACAGTGATCTCGTCGATAGACTTTCTTCTTCTTCATCTTCTTCTCCTTCTTCTTCTCTTTCTACTTCTTCTTCTTTTTCTTCTTCTTCTTCTTCTTCTTCATCATCATCATCATCATCATAAACAACATCAGCAACGTCTTCTTTTACGGTTTTTTGTTTCGTGTTCTTTTTTAAACTATAAATAGGAGCGACAAGTCGAATTGTCGCGCGATGCGACTAACTACACACTCACACTCACACTGGACAAATGGTTCTATACACACGTAACACTGGTTATATACAGACTCGTCGAAGCTGGAGACACACACGTACACAGGTTAAGAGAGCATATAGTTTTTCGGGGGATGGCGGCGTCGACCTGGAGAACCACAGATATTCGTCCCCGAACCCTCGAGCTCCCCGAACCGCAGATCATAGTTTTCTACGACAGTATTTATATATAGCTATTATATATATATGTATACAGACAGAAGCATATATATGTATATACCGATTGTACATATATATACATGTAAAGTATTTTTACACGACGCCCCATGGAGCGACCCCGCCAACCCCCGCAGGGTCTATCCCCAGGTTAAAGTAATAGTCCGTTGAACATAGTTCGCAATAGTCACTTGGAATAAATACCACCAACTACAGTATTGCAATAGTTGTTAGAGAGACAATCGTGCGCGCGACCGGCGAACCGAGGCCGCGGCGATCGAGCTGCGATCCATCGATCCTCGACGCTCTGGAAATTTTGGAGTTTTCGTCACTTTCTACGTTCGTAATCGATTCAGTTTTCTCAGCGTACGCTGATCACTTTGTATTCGTATTTTTCTAGATATTTATTCTAAATATTTGTCACTTTCTAAAATATCTACCGATTTCACTGATTTTAGATCGACGCGATTAATTCGTTCAATTGTGTCTCGTTTATACAAATTGTCTCGTGTTCGCAAACATTGATCCTCCCGTAGAACAATCCACGAGTTTTTATATTTAAATTCTTCACCGATTGAAATGTAAAACTGTCGCTTTTCATGTTTGCTTTGGATGCTAAAATTCACTTTGTTCTGTCATCTTCATTTTAACCCTTCGCGCTTTAAGGTGTCACTAAAAAAAAGAAAAAGATGCCACTATGTAGAAATGAGTACGAAAATTCACTTTGTTCTATCTCGTCTTTATTTTTTAAATCTCCGTTAAGAATCTATTAAAATTAACAATTTTGATTTAAAGTTCGCTTGAAAGCTCGTTGTAATCGAAAACCATCCGCGCTTCGAGGCGCCGCTAAACATTGCTACACTTGAAGAATTAACTTTGTACTTAAATGATTAACTACGCTGAATTTCAGATGCACGGAACGGAAACATCTTGTCGAAGGGTTAAAAGTAGACCGCGATGCCGAAGAAAGAGCTTTGGTTCTTGCAAGTGCTGCGAACCGTTCCAATGCTTCATTAAGGTTCTCAGTCTAATTATAACGAATGCTGTTTCTTCCGTCCGGAACGGAACGGGATCGGTGAAGTGCTTACGAACAATCGACAATTTCTTCAGGAGCAGGATGTGTTCGGACGACGGAAGGTTGAAAAAAACTCCAAAAATTGCGGGGAATAAGTAAGATCGAGAAAGACGACGAGAGGATGCGAGTTGAAGGGAAAACGATCGAGCGGATAACGCACAGCAGAGCGCTCGGCGAGGAACGCAGTGCCGACAATAATAAACGGGCGTGCCCCTCAGGCTCGTAAAGGCCGAACCGTGGCGAGCACGCTCGGCTCCGCGCCGGTTTACGGTGATTATAAAAGCGGATTAACGACGCCGTAAACGCGGTAAGCCTTTTACGAATTGTCTGCGAGGATCCGGCCCGGCGTCGAGACGTTCTATATATCTCCACGTTTCTCTCTTTCACTTTTTCTCTGTTCGCCCCCGTGTCCTTGGGGAGAATGCAAATCAGCACCCCGGCCGAGGGTTGAATAGTCCCGACTTCACTATGCTCGCCGGAAATAAAAAAGTACTCGGCGATTCCCGCGAGGAAAACGACCAAGCCGAATGCCGTCGTAACCCGCGAAAAAGACTGCCCTGCCCCCCGAAGGATCTCTCACGATGAAACTCCCTGTAGACAACACCGAGCCGGGCGTTTTTGCTATGCGTTATCCTTGAACCGAGCAGGATACTGATACACTATCGTCGCCGTCCCGTTTACGGCGGAGCTCCTTTTACACGAATTTTTCCGGTCCCGATAAACTCCACGAGAACGGCTTCACCGAATCCGAACACGGAAATCTTCTACCAAGCGAATCCGATATAGCTACTTCTATCTCGTGAAAATCTTTAACCATATTTTAGTTGCCTTTAGTACATTTTAACACGGTCGCGATTCGTTCTACACCTTGGTTTACCTTCGTTTTTATTTTTATACAGATGCGAAGCTGGCTCGATTTTTGAGTTCGTCGTCTTATTTCACTTAACCTGGATGATTTTTTATACTTCCGGCTTACGGTACTTCGCAGAGATTTTTAAACAATTTCTAAACGCGTTTCCATCACCCCTCGCACATCGTTTAGAACAGCTGTAAATTGTCGTACACTTTGGTCATTCATTTTTTATTCTTATACGGAGAGAGACGCGAAGCCGATGCAATTTTTGGTTAGTTCGATGCTGGTTCGTCTTACTTGAATTGCGTGGGTGGTTTTAAACCTCGGGCTTATGGTACTTCGTCGAAATTTTTAAATAAATTTCAGTCGCATTCTAGACATTTTTGTCGAAGCTGTATGTCGTAGTTTTTTCATTTTAATTTTGATACGCGTGTAACTATCGAGCGAATTCACGTTTCGCACGTTTCAATACAGTTGTCGCTTGTCCTACTTCATTTGCGTGGGCGATCGTAGACTTGGCACTTCGCACAGATTTGTAAATAAAGTCACATTTCGTCGGAACCATGAATTTTCACACATCGGTTATTTTACTAATTGCGACAATGCAGCAGATCCGCCGTTTTCCACGTTCTAATGCAGCTGTTTCTGGTTTTAATTTATAAAACATATTCGTAGGATATCCTGTAAGAAACCGAAACAATGCGACACGACTGTTCTAAACGTAGTTCGAATGTGATTCGACCGAGTCGATTCGTGGAGTTTCCAAGGCTCGGGCGATTTTTATCGAGAGCCCGAACGCGTTCGCTTAACAGAATTAACAGTTGTTCCGCCAATCGAAGCTCGCCCGGAAGTTTCGTTAATTGAGCCCGTAGGAGGATTTCGTTTAAATGGAGCTCCGGGAAACGATCGCAGCGAGCTGGCATAATCTCGGGTCGCCGGTGACCGGCACGATTTAATAACGCATTATGTAAATGTAATAACAAACTCAGGAAATCTGAAGCAGCCAGGCCGTGATACTATACTTATAGAAACTACTACCGCTACTATTTACTACGACAGGTGTGATTCTTGCGTTATATACAGGACGCATCGACGTCTGATTCTGTTTTGTTTCGTTTGTTTGTTTGTTTCTTGTTTGTTACGAGATTTTACACTGCATTGTGGCAAGGCGTGTGTGCACACCGTCGCCGTGAACGTTTCTCGCGAAACTTGTTACAGGGTCACATATCCAATCACAGGGTCACAATCGCCGCGTGAAAAAAGAAAATCATCTCGCCCGAAGAAATCGTATCGGAACGCGTCAGCGAAATTTCTGGGAAACTTTCGATCATTTCGATCTCGACGAGATCGAATCCAGCGTCTAGAAATATTTTTAACACGTAGATGCAATCGTTCTGTATCGATGAAGCACGATGCATTGTTATTGTAATCGCAATTAGACACTTAGGGACAATATCTTCTTACTTGTAGCGACGGGGGAACTCTGGACCATTCAGGGCTAAAGACACCGTCGCTACCCGGGTAGCTATTTAATATAGCTGACCGATTCTTTTTTTCTTTTCACAGAAAGATGTCCTCTTTTTGGTTCGGAACGATCGACAGCAAGCGCGAATTTTAATAAAAATTATTTCGGTCATTGTTCGCACGTCTGTAACGAGTTTCGCCGGAGCCGTCGTGGCCGAAGATACAAAACGGGGAATAAAAAAAAAGAAAAGAGAAATGATTGTGAAAAAAATCACCACAGCTACCTCCATGTTATTAGATATCAGTCTTCTTCTCGCGCTATACTCACGCTCATATTACCTAAATCATATGTTATTTTACGATGTTCGGCCGCGCGTCGGCAACAAAACCACGTCTCTGTAGCGAATATATATATATATATTACTTATATATATATTATATATATTTAATTATGTATACACGATATTTACACATAGTCAGAGCGCGAGGTAATATAGCTTCCACGGATTATAGGTTTAAGAGTCTGCCTCCTTGCGCGGAACGGACGAGCCGGCGCGGAACACAATAACAAAATAAATATCTGCGGAAGATAAAAGGAAGAAGGATGACCGAGCGATGGAAAACAATCGATGGCGTCCGGTGGCGGGGCTTCGCACATCCCTCTGTCTTCGACCGATGCTTAAAACATTCAATGCACCGCTCGAAATAGGCGCACGGCGGAGCGGCATAATTGATCGGCCGACCAATTAGTCGCCGGAACAAATTTTTCGGAAAACCACGGGCTTCGGAACTGGCCGCCCAATCAGCTTCACGATCGGAGAAAATGATCGGCGGCAAGCTCGTCTAACGCTGAACCTACTGAGCACTCGAACGGACTTGGCGTGTCTCGTAAAAGTGATAAGTTTGAATTTATCGAAGCTTTAAGAAATGATTTGGTGGAACCCTGGCGGTTACCCTAATTTTTCAATCGAAAATTGTGAAACGGTGGTAGTGTATTGTATGCAAAAAAAAAGAAAGAAATGCATTAACGAGGATCAATAAGGATCTCGATGCATCTAATCGTCGCTAATTGTATACTCTGTATGAAAGTGAAATGACCGAAAATTGTTTGATCGTTATCGAAGAATTATCGGTACTTAGACTGCTATAAAAAAAGGAGAAAAAGAATCAATTGTACAGTCGCGATTTTTACGAGAACACGTTCTTAGATAATGAATGTGTCGAGCCTCTCGATCGGTTCTTTGCAACGTGATAGATTTTACAATGGTAAAATCAGTAGTTTTAGCGCTAGGTAGGTTCAAGGGTTAGCGTATAGTCCGCGATGGAACTATGACAATTGGCGTTCCAAGGCCCGCCGCCCTTCCACCAAACTCTCGAGCACGGCTGGTCGAAGAGGGGTGGGAGAAGTCCGAGTTCGCCGGTCAAAATACAATGGAGCTACCTCACTTAAACGCTGGAACGCGCGACAGCCGGATTATTTATGCAGACGTGTGTACGTGTTGTTGCATTTCTGTTGGTCGACAAAGTGTAAAAAAAACCGATTCACTGCCAAGAGCGCGTCGGGCTCGTCCGTTCCGCGAGCGACAGTGCTGAATTCCAAAATCACAATGCAATACGTTGTACTTACAGTCGTTTTTACGCGTTGACTCGTCGATATATACCGGTTAGTGATTTTACTGCTGCATCGAGAGCGGGAGGAAGAGAAGGAAAGAAAGAAAGAAAGAAAGAAAGAGTGTGCGCGACTAATAGAGAGACGACGATTTGTGTGCGTGGTTGGATCGTGTGGATGCAGGTTTCAACGTGGGTGCATGTGTGCGCGAAAGAAAAATCGAGTTCGAATGGCCTCCTATTATATACGCATATATATATATATATAGATTAAAAAAATATATGTATGCATACATATATATATATTATTAGAAAGTGAGAAAACAGAGAAAAAATATAAAATATACCTATCTACGTGATATTTTACAGAGAACATAATCAGGGACGCGTCGTAACTTTAGGCACGTATATATATATACGTATGTATATACATATATACAAATGTGTATATATGTATATATACATATATATGAATATATATGTACAATAAATATATATATGAATATATATGTACAATAAATATATATATATATATATACATATAGAGTCTTTCTAGTGATAGAAACCGTAACGACTAATTTATTTTGTAAACTCACGTCGGATCAGAGGAACACGGTCGTGTGGCGAACCATAACTATAACGAGCGTGCAATCTCGACGTACGGCGCCGCGGCTTATGCGACGCGTTCCGTCGACCGAAGCGTTTGAAATTTGCCGCGCGGAGCACACCATACAGCGCGGGAGATACGAAACGGTCTCGCCGAGCTAGGAGAGATCGATTCTGACGCGATCGCGATCGGTTTCATGACAAACGGAGGAGGAAAGGGACGAAGTTCCCTCTCGGCGACGATCTCTCGATTTTTCGCGCGCAGTTAACAGTGGACGGCGAGCCACGCGGTTCACGGATCGGTCCGCCTCGGCGCGTATCGTCACCGGCGCCATTTTCCCGTGAATCGTTTCGCGGCGAATCGGCCAGGAAATTCGCGTTTTATTGATCCCGGCGGACGAGCAATCGAACGGAAACGGGAAACCGGCGCGCGGACGACGCAAACGAAGCGGAAATACGGGGGAAAATTCTCTTTCTCACGGACTTACATACATGCATATACATACATACGTACACACACGTAGACACACGCGCGCGCGCGCACGCACGCACCCAGGTCCATGGACACTGACACACGGAATTGCGATCTCAAAGATTTTTTAAAGCGGCAGGAAAATCGTCGGCCCCGTTATTCAGACACTGGCGCACCTCGTTCTTTGATTTTTACGGTTAGAACTTTAACGTTTAAGGTGCTTCGAATATTGTTACGTTACGTTTTCTTTTTCTCTCCTCTCTCTCTCTCTCTCTCTCTCTCTCTCTCTCTCTCTATTTCTCTCTCTTTCTCTCTCTCTGTTTTTTTTAAATACCGTCAGTTAAGGTTAATGTTATTATATTATCATTATCATTTCATTAAGAATTTTAGCTTCGCTAGACCGAACGTCGAAAGGATGTACATCTGTCTCCTGGCAGGGAATCGAGACGAAACGTGTTTTGTTTATCACCGTTTCATTCTCCCGTTCTTTCTCACCTGTATTCGGGTCTCATTCTTTTATTTTTTTTTTATTAATCGCGCGATATTTGTATAAAAATTGTATCCCGAGATCGAAGAAGACTTTTTACGATAGAACTTTTTGGGTTTTTTTTTTCTTTCAATCTTCTTTTTCTGACTCGAGGCACCTCGCCAACGAGACAGAGAGGCAGGCAGACTTCGCGTCTTGCGGACGAGCCAGTATGGTTAGACGTTCCCCTTATTTTCCCGTTTTACGATTCCCGGCATTTTCGATCCTCACTTTTTTATTTGTAAATATCATATAGTCTATTTATCTACTATCGATCCCGTCCTAATCCAATCGGTCCTTCATCCCCTCGATCTCATCTCCGCCGTTTTCTCGCGCGGTCCTCGAACTCTCGATCTCCATTCCCCCCCACTCCTCGCACGTACTACGTTACTACTTATGTTCTTTACGTTTTTTTTTTTTTGCCATTCTTAGCATGTAAGCCATCCAACTTGCCAATACGATTACAATAAATATGTTTAGAAAGAAGAGACCGTGTGATGCGTTTAGTTTTTACGCCCATTTGTTTCAGTTCCTTCTGTTCGCTCGAGCGTAAGTATTCCCGCCGATTTACACGGCGTCTTTTTCCCTCCCCGACGCGATTATTTGTTCTTCTCGTCCCGTTTATAATTTCCTCGTTCGACCGATCGATCGGCCCCGGAGCCGATCCGCGGAAAACTCGGGCGCAGCCACCGTCCGACCGATTGGAAAAGCCGAGCACACGCCGTACGTCGAGCCGCCGATCAAACCGCAGGAAACCAATCAGGGATCCACCGAACTGCAATCGAAGCTTCGGTCAAAGTACAAAATTACCCGTGTAACTAGATTTATATAATTAGAGCGCCGCCGGAGATCCGGAAGTTCTCGGTGTTCCGGTTTCGATTCGAACGAGAGAAAGAAACAAAAGGACGAATCAGCGCGTCAAGGATCCCAATCCGAGGATGCGATCGCTGCGGTCGCCAGTTCGAGGAGGACTAATTAATAGCAATGCTTCGTCGTGTCTTCAGGCAACGAGAAAGAGACTTCGTTCCTCGCGACTGAATTGATCTTACGATCGTCGGAAGTATAAATCGAGGAGAAGATCCGCGCGATTTGCGATCGCGAGAGCTTACATTTTTCAGGACGAACGAATGAAGTCGGACGCGGTTTGATGCTTCCGCGAGAGAGTCTCATTGTCGGCGTCGAAGCGTCATTTATTTCGTTGAGTCTCGTTCGAATTTGTCCGTCGGAAATGCGGAAGGAGCTGCAAGCTAGCGATCGATAGATCGGACGTCAAAATTTGATCGCGTTATTGGAATGGCCACGGAATCTTGTCGTTTCTCATTTTAATGTAATATCGAAGATCTTCGCGGAAGTAATTGTTCTACCGTGAACTATATCTGTGCTACGAAGTGAACGAATTTACATTTGAGAATTTATTAAGCAGGACGAGAGGTCCAGAATTACTTTAACCCTTTCAGTGCTGATTAAAATGTAAGAGTATAATAGAATCTCATTCTTGCGACTTTATGCTATATTCGTATTATACCAATGCCATTTTGATCGTACTAATTTAACTTTTATTATATTCGTGTTATAAATGGTATAATAATCATGGTAGATAGAGGAAATATCTGCCCGTTTTATTATTTTGATGATTTTATGTTATGTTCGTATTATACGAATGCCATTTAGATCGCACTAATTGAACTTTTATTATATTCGCGTTATATATGATATAATAATCATGGTAGATGGAAGAAATAGCTACTCTTTCTATTGTTTTGATGATTTTATATCATATTCGTGTTAAACGAATGCCAATTAGATCGCACTAATTAAACTTTCGTTATATTCGTGTTATATATGGTATAATAATCATGGTAGATAGAAGAAATATCTACTCTTTCTATTGTTTTGATGATTTTATATCATATTCGTGTTAAACGAATGCCAATTAGATCGCACTAATTAAACTTTCGTTATATTCGTGTTATATATGGTATAATAATCATGGTAGATAGAAGAAATATCTACTCTTTCTATTGTTTTGATGATTTTATATCATATTCGTGTTAAACGAATGCCAATTAGATCGCACTAATTAAACTTTCGTTATATTCGTGTTATATATGGTATAATAATCATGGTAGATAGAAGAAATATCTACTCTTTCTATTGTTTTGATGATTTTATATCATATTCGTATTATACGAATGCCAATTAGATCGCACTAATTAAACTTTCGTTATATTCATGTTATATATGATATAATAATCATGATAGATAGAAGAAATATCTATTCATTTTATTATTTTGATGACTTTGTGTTATATTCGTATTATACGAATGCCATACAGATCAAATTATTTGTATTTATAAATCATGATATAATATAATTATAAATCATATAAGGATCACGATAGACAGAAGAACTATCAATTCTTTCTATAATTTTTATCAGATCGTATCACTCGACGTCGCATTAAATTCATGCTCCAAATCGCATAAAGATCATTCGACAAAGAATTGTCGTAAACACCGCTGACCAAACACTGAAAGGGTTAAAATCAGGTAAATAGAAGCAGATCAATTTCGACTTTCCCGACAAAACGAACGTTGAAAGCTACGAGCTAATCGATGAATAATGTGTCAATTGTACGAGCCGAAGTTTCTCTGCGAAACGGCCAAGACTTCCCCGGCCGATTCAATACTGCGATCAACGGCGACGAACGTGACCAATGGCGGTCCAGCGGCGTTTATTATTTAGCGAGGCCCCAGCCGTGTCCACGAATAATGAATCGGACAGGAAATTGCCTCTGATCGGTTCGACAGCGTGAAACCGAGGCGACCGCCGCGCCGCGTTTCAGCCGGCAGAGGGAGAGGAAAATAAATGCGAGTGTCCGGCAGGATTGGCGCGCGTGCACGAGGAGAGGAGAGGAGAGGAGAGAGATAGCTCTAGCCAGATTCCTCGTGTAACGTGAATGTTAATCGCGTTCGATATGTGTGTCCACCTGATCGTGAGATTAACCGCGGCGACCGTGGAGGATAGGTGAACGATCGTAAAACCGAGCTGGATCGACGCCGTACGACGACGTAAATTATACCCTGTGTTCTTTACTGCCGTTATTTCGTTATCGCCGTCGTTACACCAAACACGCGGAACGTATCGGCTCGCTATTAGGATGATTGTGCCGCGGAAATTCCGTCGTACGTGCTCAAGCGGTTTATCGGCGTTTCGAAAAATCGTTTACACTTAAACTCTTGTAATTTTCGGAGAAAAAATGGCACGCTCATCAAACTGGCCTCATTTCGAAGCTCGTTCATTATACTTTCGATGTGGATCGTTCATTTTTGCTGTAAAATTGATTGCGATACGTAGCAGACAGGAAACTGGGCAGCTGGTCTTGTTAAAAAATTGTGTAAATTGAAATGTCCGTGGAAACGAAGAAAAAAATTTTCAGGGACTCAATTCTCCGCAGATTTGAAGATTGAAGCTTCCTCTTTAAAGTGGGATCTGAAAATTTGATGTACGAATTTTTTTTACTGTTTTGTGAAGCGGAGACGAGGGACATGATCAGGCGTGTAAAGCTCTCACAGTGTATTTTATATTATTGAAAAAGGGATAATACATCTTTCGTTCTGAGCTCGATAAAACGAATTTAAAAAATCGTACAGCAAATTTTA